TAATCTCTAGAATTTAAGGGAATACGCAGTGTTTTACTCGTACTCTGTCTTCTCTAATGCGACTTCCAGCTGGACAACTTTTCTAGGTGAACCTTGTGCTCGAACATCTGACCCTTGAGAAAACAGGGCATTTAACTACTGCTTCAAACTGGCCCATCTAAATAGTTGGTGGTTTCTATATCAGACAACTGAATAGGTAGGTCCACCTGGTCTGGACATTCACGTGCTATTCCGATATCTCCATGATGTAGTATCCTTGAAATATATCCCACCGAGGCCGCCGAGGTTTTTATTGTTGAGTCAAATAACTTATTCAAATCTGCCAACCCCCTAATAAGTGCTCCTGGTAGCCATCTGGTAGATTCTATACTAATTACTTAGGAAATCCTGCTTGGGCAGTGAGCTTACCGTATGAAATTTGGTTGATTTCATACGTTGCAGTAGGCAGAGAGAATAACTTGACTCAAGTTTGATTAAACTTGCGGCTCTCTATGGTGCTTCGTGGCCCAAGTGGTTAATTGTGACTGTACTAAAGCCTCCCTTTTTCTGTCATGGGTTCAGATCCCACTAAAGTCACAACTCTCAAAATTGAGTAAAATGGAATATTAGGCGGGTTTGGCAGATTCGAATAATTCAATTGACCCAACTGTGATTAAATTCAAGGCCTTCGGTGTGCCTTCGTAGCTCAATTGGTAGAGCACTGGCTGTACTATACCCTTCCCTGCTGCTGTGGGTTCGAATGCCACCGAGGCCACGAATTTTACACAGTTAGGTCAATTGAACATGGAATATCTTTATTAATTTAAATCAAAAGGCCAGGAGTTGCGGTTGACATGGTTCTAGATTGAATTTTGTTTTGTTGTCTTTTTTTTGTTTGGTTTACCACCAGGGAAGCTGTTCTGGGATGGAACTTGTGTCCGAGTTGTTCATAGGTCTCAGTACTGCCTATGACCACAGACGTTCTACAAAATCCAATCGAGTGAATGTTAATCTTGGCCAATTTATTTCTACAAGTGCTATGCAGTTTTAATTATAGTCGAGGTATTTGAAAGGGACCTTCCTCACTGTCTCCTAGCCATTCTCTCCCGAAGTTGATGATGACCGGACTATGCCACCGTCAGTGCACCAAGTTGAAGTGTCATCACGATGTTCTTCCCATTGCGCTCCTTGAATAAACTAGCTCTCTCTCCATCTACACGGTGATTCCTTTCTGTCCCCATCCGCCTCTAGCCCAATGGACTTCTCGTTCCTTGGCTCCAAGCAGACTAACCGTGAGGCAGTGACCTGCGGCATGCTGCAGTCCAAGTTCGCTCAGGAACTAGTCACTCAGAGGTCCGCTGTGCTCGGGCTACTGGCCACTTGTCCTCCGATGCTGGACCCTGAACGATGGACTCTCTGGTCATAT